CCTGCTGAAAAACGACTGCTTTCAGAAAGGCACCTATCACTGGCATGGGAGTAGCGCCCAGACAAAAAAATAAGCGTTTATTGTCTTATTCAGCTCTTATCCTAAACTATTTTTCTGAAATATTACATTAAAACATTCCTCGGCACATAAAATCTGCAAGTGGAGAGAGCAGCAGGGAACCGTTAGCTTTCGGAAGGTGGCTTAAGGCTGGGCCGCCTACCTGCTGCCCTCGTACTGGGGCGTCCTCGGTGCTTTCGCTCAGGCGTGCAGGTGGGAGGGAGGGCGCCTCAGCGCACCGCCTGGAGCAGACCACGTGGGTCCTCTTCACTCTTCCCAACTGTCAGAGCACCTGCACCTCGTCCCGTCACCTCGCCCCCGTCCCTGGCTGCGCTGTGGGGACAAGGATCAGCCCTCCGACCACCAGACACACAAAGCCCGAGATGCAACCACGTAGACAGGGATTGACGCGAGGAAGGGAGAGGGAGGGAGGAAACCAGGCCTAGGGATACCCGCTTTTCCCAGGCTTCGCAGCAAGGAAACTTCTTTGGAAGCATTTTCTACGGATTAGGTCAGAAAACCGGGAGGGAGTGGAGGGTAGCGGGGAATCTCGGCCCACTCTCTGAGCCATCAGAGGTACCAGAGACCGCAGTGTCCCTGAGACAGTGGAGCCCAGGGGCGGGGCAGGAGGGGGACCCAGCCCTTTAACTTCGGAGTGGAGCGGGAGCGGAGCACCTTCTGCTGGAGGGTGGAGATCTTGGAGAAAGCCAGGCCAGGGTGGGTCGTGAGCGCTGCGAGCGCGAGCCGGTCTGTTCAGCTGTGGGGGGTGGGCGGGGGGGGGGGGAGCCGGTCTGTTCAGCCAGCTGGGGTTCGCGCAGTCCCGGGGCTCCTGCCAGGAGCCGGGAAGTTCTGGCGCTAAGCCGCAGGCCCTGCCGGAGTTTGTACGGGACGCAGCCCCCGCCCCTGCCCGAGCGCAGCAGGGCGGCTGCCACTCCCTGCGCCCAGCCCCGCGGGAGCGCGCCGCTGCCCACCGCCTCCAATCATTACTCTGCACGAAGCGCTTTAAATATGCATGAACACGTCACGTAGTGTGAACCGCAGTCAGTCCGTGGGGGGTGAGGGAGACCTATATAACCGTGTCCAGGGTGGGCCGACAAGGGTTAACCTAACTAGAGGGGAGAGTTGGGCCGGGGTCTGCCGCCCTGTGAGTGCAGTCCAGGTTGGCCACGGTGAGTCGCTCCTCCCTGCCCTCCCTAGCTGCTTCTATCCGCGGGGAGCTGACACCGGGAGGCGGGCGTGAGCTGCTGGAGAGGGCCCAGGGACAGACGGGAAGATGTCTTGAGGCCCTGGCCTTGAGGAAGGCGTGTTTCTTAAGGACGCATGGTCACTGTCGCCTTCCTCTGCCAGTCTGTGCTGAGAGCCGACTTCTCTGCCCAGGCTATAAATCTCGGGCCTGACCTCCGAGCTCCAGGCCCTGCCCAGACCGAACAGGTTAGCATTGCCAGGGGCTCACGCCTCAGCTCTGGACCCTCGGCGCTGGAGCGGCCTGGCCCATCGAAGGCTCATCATGTTCCCCTGGGAGTTGAGCTGCCTGTCGGTGCTGGCGACGGCGGGCACCGCGTTGCTGTGCGCCGGCCTGCTGCTCAGCCTGGCCCAGCACCTCTGGACCCTGCGCTGGACGCTGAGCCGGGACAGAGCCTCCGCCCTGCCCCTGCCCAAGGGCTCCATGGGCTGGCCTTTCTTCGGGGAAACGCTGCACTGGCTAGTTCAGGTGAGCAGTGGTCGCCCCCTCACCCCAGCATGGCCTCCTCCTCCAATCCCGCTGCACCCTCCTCGCTCTTCTGCGCTCCCAGTTCCTTCCCATCACCGGGCCCAGGGGAGCGTGGCCAACCACTGGCTTTTGCCTAGCCACTGTCCTCCCTCACCGAGTTCCCAGAGCAACTGCAGCAGCCGGAGCCAAGGAGGGGTAGACGCTGAGTCCTAGGAAGGGTCTGAGGAGTGTGGGCCCTCCGTCCTGCAAGCTCAGAAGCAGGAGCGGGGGTAGGGGGGGTGCGGGGGTGTGGAGGGGCTGGGGGAGGTGGGAACCCTTGGGCACTCCTGTCCCGTTCTGAGCCTCGGTTTTCTCATCTTGCCAGAGGGAAATTCCCATCTAGTAGTCCGAGGCCCACTGGGGACCCTGTGTTTTGGAGAACACCAGGCGGCCGGCCAGGGTGGGGAGCTGTTAACAAGACAGTAGGGAAGTCTGGGCCAAGCCCCGGGCTCCAGCCCTCTTCACTCTGCCTGGCTCGCAGGGCTCGCACTTCCACAGCTCTCGCCGGGAGCGCTACGGGACGGTGTTTAAGACGCACCTGCTGGGCCGCCCAGTGATCCGCGTGAGCGGCGCGGAGAACGTGCGCACCGTCCTGCTGGGCGAGCACCGCCTGGTGCGCAGCCAGTGGCCGCAGAGCGCGCACATCCTGCTGGGCGAGCACACGCTGCTCGGTGCCGTGGGAGAGCCGCACCGGCGGCGGCGCAAGGTGAGCGCAAATCGGACTGGGCAGCTGCTGTGGGCCCAGCCAGGGCCACGCGTTGGGGTACACCGTGAACCCGACCAGGATCCCTGGCCTGGAGCGGGTGGCCTGGAGCCAGTTCCGGACTAATAGGTCCTTTTATGTCCGGTTTTCTGTGACAAGGGTAAGGAGACTCAGACCTAACAGGGGTCAGGGAGCACTTCCTGGAGGAGGTGGCGACTGGAGCCTGGATGGAAAGGAAGGGCTGTGTACATGAGGGCAGAACTAGAGGGGATGCTGAGAACAAACCCCAGCAAGTTTAGTTCTGGGTCGTTCGGACGAGGAGGAAGGGGCCGAAACTCGCTTTCTGGCGCCTCCACAATCGCGGAGCGCCGGAGGCTACGCTGACCGCCCCGCCCCGCGCAGGTCCTGGCGCGCGTGTTCAGCCGCGCGGCGCTGGAGCGCTACGTGCCGCACCTGCAGGGGGCGCTGCGGCGCGAGGTGCGCGCCTGGTGCGCTGCCCGCCGGCCCGTCGCCGTCTACGAGGCCACCAAGGCGCTCACCTTCCGCATGGCCGCGTGCATCCTGCTGGGGCTGAGACTAGACGAGGCGCAGTGCGCCAAGCTGACCGGAACCTTCGAGCAGCTCGTGGAGAACCTCTTCTCGCTGCCCCTCGACGTGCCCTTCAGCGGCCTGCGCAAGGTACTGCCGCCCCTGCCCGCAGCCTTCCTCTCGGGGCTCCATGGCGCGGGCAGGTCTCCGCGCGAGCAGGTCTCCCAGATCAAGTCGGTCTCTGGGCCGAGGCCACGCGTCATCTCTACTGAGCTACAGAGGTGCGACCCAGGCGGGGTGGCGGCGCGGTGTGGGGGTGGCCTGGCCTCTGGTCTCACTCGCTGTGTTACCGGGACAGGCCACACACCCTCTCTGGGACGCTCCTGGCAGGGCGCGCTCCAGGCCCAC